CATAGTAGCTGCAAAAAGCATGCTGGATTTTTCACAAGGAAGACCATGGGCTCTATTTTGGTGCCTCGCTGGAGATCCGCCGCAAGCGCAGCGTCAATCAGATCCGCCGCGCTGACAAGGCGTTCCCAAGCACATTTTGGTATTTTGGTGAGCCGCGCAGCCCGTCGTAAGTATCCCCCCTCCCTAACTCAGCTCCTCCCAGCAGCATAAGTCGTAGACGGGGAGGAGAGAAGGCGTGGAGTAGATTTAACACAGCCGAGACCTGTTTTCACCAATCACATAAGCTCCTCTCCTTGCCTTTAAATCCTCCACCGGCGAGGCGTATTACTATTTTCATGAAGTAGTCAAAGAGATCGAGAGATGTCTGAAGACAGTTATGCCACACGATGGTGACAGAGGGCAGCTGCTCAACAAGTGTCCTCCACACTGGTGTGTGTAATGTTGGACCCACTGGTAAGACAAACACCCTTTTCCACAAATAAAGACACTCACATAAAGTTGCATATATTCAAACCTCACGTGACAAAGGTGGGTTTAGCGCACAGATCACAACATAAACTCCAAAAATGGCATTAAAATCGGAACCATCTGTGCGTAAATGACGCATCGCGCTCCGTGGCCTGGCTCTTTCTTTCATAGATGTTGGCATATAAAATAAATTAGGCCCACAAAACTGAATATTATAATATCCGTATGTCGGCTTAAAGTAGATAACGCATCTGAGCACTGAAACAAATCATCTGTTCAGCCACAGCAGCAAGCAAGACGGAGAGAAGACACGGAGACGTGTCCAGGTCGAGCTGTGCGAGAAATAAAAGGAAGAAAGAAAAGGAGGGAGACACATCACATATCTTGTTAACTTCATCATGTGTGTTTATTTACTAGATATTTAATTTAATTTGATGCAGTTTCAGCTGTATTGATTCGGTCAGGTCGTGTGCCCAAACGCGTGCCAAACGCGCTCATCAGATCAGATATAGATCAGAATATATCTATATAGATCTAAATGTATGTGCTGACTCAGATTAATAGTTGATGATGATTATTTATTGCACTGAAATGTGCCTGACACTGTGGAAACCTGCCGGTGAGGCATCAGTGACGTATGTCGATACACCGCCGGTCTACCAAAATACTACTAGACCAGCTGCGTTCCGCCTTGCGCTGAAAGCTGACCAGGTTTGAATCGGCGAGCTTTCAGCGCATGTTACACGCCGGTGGCGAGCACGAAAATGTCACTGCGCCAGCTGATTCTGTCAACACCTCCCCCTGCCACGCCACCACGCCCAGCTTGGCGGATCTCGGCTCGCCTCCGTGCGACTCAGTCCACGAAAATACCAAACTCGCCTTACGCCGGGCTCCGCCATACAAAAATACAACTGCGCGGGGCTCGCCGCCCTCCGCCGCCTCACCGGCGCGAACGAAAATAGAGCCCCTTATGTAGATGCTTGTTCTTTGTGGTAGCCATGACTTTTATGGTATTTGTGTATTGTGTGGTATGAGAGTCACATGGTGGGGTGGAGGTAGTACGCCAGCACCGGTAGTGGTGAAGTCAGCTGTTCACCTGGCGAGTTTTGTGGATGAATGGAGAGGGGGTGAATGGGGAAGTCCTACTTTTTGCTGAACGCTTCTTCGCTTACGTTTCACTTATGTATAATAAAAACAAGTGAAATAAAGACCACTAAAATGTCAAAAACATTTTTGTCAACTGAAATGAAAATAAAAAGCTTTTCAAAAACAAGAGAGCCAACTAAATTTTTATTGCTTGTTTAAAAAAGAAACTAAAATACAATAAAATCAAACTTCTTAACAGCAGAAGTTGATACAATTTCTCTTCATTATTATCTACTATACAGGCTACTTTTGAACAGCTTTATTGAGGCCTTTCTCTGAAATATTCACAATAAAAAACTTTTTGTTCATCTGCTGACCTCTAGTATTATCCAAGACATATTTTTGCCATAGATAGTGTAGTGAAACAGTAGCAGATGATAGAAAATATATTGTAGGACACTCAGTTCTAGAAAGAAAATCCCCTCATTTGTATGATCTGCAAGGATCAACCTGTTATTTATTTACAATAATGGTTTGGAGGGAGGGCGTTTGATGATGTGTGATCCACATTATCAACCCCCCTCCCTAACAAGCAGGTTGGAGCTAACAAGCAGGGGCGTAGCAGACCTTTTTGACTGGGGTGGCCCAACCTCAGCACTGCTGGGGTGGCATTAAGTATGTGAGCCCAAACACCAATAGCATTTATTTATGCATCTGTCTTGTAATGTCAGCCGTATAGTTCATTTTTAACATAAATTATTGTCTCTGAGGATCCAAGTAGCCAAAGAGGATGATGTTTATGAGTTCTTTTTTGCAGTTTTGGGGTGCCTTGCCCCTGTTAAGTATCCCATGATAGATAAGACTAAAATTTACACTGAAACTAATAAAAAACTAAACCAAAAATAAGCATTTTCAGAAAATAAAGACTCAACTAAAAATCCAGCTTTAAAAAACGAATCAAAACTAAACTGAAATTGAAAACAAACAGTCTTAACAAAAAGAAACTGATGACATTTTCAAATATTATAACCTAAGGTTGTAACACATACAAAAAACAAACTCAAAAAACTGAAAAACTGCCATGAAATATCAGTCAGTATGTTTTTATCAGCACCTGTTGTTAAATTCATAACAGTTTTAACTAACCCAAAACCTAATGGTTGCCAAATGCAGAAGATAGTACAATGGAGTGGAAGTTTATCATACAAAAACTGTAAATATTTAAGCACAGTAAAAACATCCCCAATTTGTTCCTGCAAAAGTCTGATGAAAACTTCTGAGGTACAAATTACTGTTGGATAACTAAGGTAGATTTAATAGGTCCTAATTCTAGGGTGTAGCAAGTGGAGGACTTCGCACATCAAACCAACAAACAGTGATAGTATGGAGACTTATTCTGTCTCTAATTGATTTAAAAGGAGTGAAGCTGTATTGAACATCTGCCCTCGACTGATCAGTTAAAGAGACAGACCACTGTTCACTACCCAACAACATCCAGCAGGAGGAAGAAATGAGTCAAACTTCTTTTGCTGACAAAAACCAGAAAACTTTCTGTTTAACAGTAAAAAGATTTGGCTGTTTGGTGTTTCTGTTACATATAAAATACAGACCAAAATATGAATGAAGAGCCTTTACAAAATTATGTATGTTAACATTGCCCTTGTAACAGCTAGTGTCAGTGTCTAAAACCAATTTACTTTACTTTAATGCTTAAATGTATCATTGTATCCAATGAACTCTGACATTATAGCATTTGTAATTTAAACTCTCAAATTATCTCTGACGGCTTTTTCTGCCCCAACACATGATACTGTGTTGCTTCATTTGGATTAAAGGTGTGCCAAGACTTGTGCTGGAGGCAAAGAATTAATTTAAAACATTAATTAATTTAATTTTAAGGATAGCTAAAGAAGCTTGTTTCACTACGCTGTAGAGTACAAGATAATACTTACTACAGTTCATGATTCAGATACAGAGCTGCTCACTTAAAATAACAAGAATATCACCATTATCTGTCTTTGCTTCCTGGTAGAACGAGTTCATATCTTTAGAGGAATAACAAACAGCCCACGCCTCACTTCGACTTAACGTTCTTAATCTTTAAGTTGTTCCTCCATGACGGATTTGTTTCTGTCATCTCTGTTGACCTGCTCTGTTTTATGAAGCATAACGCTCTGCTATTTCAAGTTAAACAAATAGTCCTGCTTGCCTGTGTGATTCTCAGGCCTTCTCCTCTTCCCTAAATACATTATTTTATGACTCCCTATTGGATTGAAGATCTTACATAATATTCCTATCAGCATCAAAACAGACTTTCCTGTCTAAAGACTTTTAAACCACATGTAACCGTGCATTCAGAGTGACTCTTAAGGGAAGTTTCTATAGTTTGATATGGATATAATTTTATATAACTTGATTTAAAGGAAAACATCTAAAAGTGTGCAGCAGCAGACTTCCAGTTATTCATGACCCAACTTCACATGGGATTTGTTTGGAGAAAAGTAGTTCACAGTGTAATAGGAATAGGTAACACCAAGTTACTTAGGCGATTGATCAGTGTCTTTGACTTGTATGTTTTTCCAAAGTTGCCTTACTTGTGTCCCTTAAACTTCAATGTTATCCAGGAGTTTTTCACTAATCTTCAACAATAGTTTAAAAGATTTTTCCAGATCTCAAGTTATTAAAACTGTATGCTGCGCTTTAAAACATTAGAGTTATAACAGAGTACACTCCTATCAAAACTTTGCTGAGGTTCGTAAGTTTTCCAATGATGTGGTTTTAGGGCTGGGAGGATGTTGTTGAAGCACCGTATTAAAATTCCCATCACCTCCTCCACATTGAGGTACGAGTCGCAGATCTCCTGCAGGTAATTCAAAATCTCATAACTTGTGGTGCCAATGCCAATGTTATAGAAATAGGATTGCAACTAAAATGTAATAAGTAAGAGTCATAAAGAATAAGAATCCTGGGGGTGAGGGCTGGGTGATGTTGTTATCTGGGCACAAACTGGGCAAATTGAAAAATTAAAACCAAAGGGAAATCAAAACCTGAGCATAAATTTTAAGCTAACACATATTTTGTGAGTTGATTTGTAAATTTGATTTTTAATTAGAAGATCTTTGTAGAAAAGACTTTCAGTGAGTAAAATGTTGTCCAATTTCCCCACCTTCCCCTATTTTTCAAGTTTAAACAAAATCATAAATGATTACCCTCACAAGAAAACTACAAATAAGTTTAAATGTATGTGTAGGCTACAAGTGGCCATGTACAAATTCATGAGAAAAGAGGGGATGAAAAATAGACGGCTGTGTGTGCATGTAAGGGAGAGGTACAGTGAGTGAGTGTGTGTGTGACAGAGAGAGAGAGAGAGAGAGAGAGAGAGAGAGAGAGAGAGAGAGAGAGAGAGAGAGAGAGAGAAAATAAGTTTACACTTGAGCAGGATCAGGGAAACAGAGGAGAACATTCAGTAGGAGGTTTGAGGGTAAGAATCTGACGGACGTCTAAGACAGACCATGTGAGGTGAGTCAGCACACTTTGAACTACTAATTAGGGGGGGTTTGTGAACAAATTACTCTTCAGGCTCCACATTTGGAATTCAAATCTATAAAGATGATGTTTTATGCGAGAAGTAATGTTGTGCGTTCGTATTAAAGTCTCAGAAGTTCATCTATGCGTGAATGTGTTGCTTAGTGATTCAGTTATGTGTCCCTTTTCACTGGTTACACATTCACATGATGTTAGCAAGCAAGACATTGGTTGGTTTAGTCTTGATCAAACAGAGGTATACGAGTTCGCTCAGGCCACAAAATAGAGTGAATAATTTGTACTTATAGGAAGTTGTATGCATTACAAACGTGACAGCTGTTAAACATGTGATACTCAGTTAGTGGTTTCACTTCAGATGTGCTTAATGTTGGTCTCTGAGCTGTTGCTGAATTTAATTCAACGGACAAGGATGAACAGTCTATGACTCACTGTAAACATCTTGGCCATAAATACCTGCATGTGGACCGGCAGGCAGGGCTTAAAGACTTTAGAGAGTGTGACATATTTTATTTCTTTGAATACAGTCCCACATTTAATTTTGTATCCATATTCCTTTTTGGATACTACCACAACTTTTTGTTGGTTTGGCTGTCTAATTGAAACTTGAATCACAGTTCAGTAATTCATGAATTATTTAACTGTATCTATTTTGTTGACTTGTGACGTTAATTAATAATTTAGAAGAAACATGACAGTTGAAGCTGATATGATTATGAAATTTAAAGGGAGTAGTAATGAGAGTCAAAGCGATTAATTTATTGCTTACTAATAGCTCTTATTTTTCTCTTTGATTGAATCAACAGACCCAGCTTTGTGAAATATGTAAAAATCTTATATTGTGGCAGAAAAATAGTATCTGAAGTTCAGTCTATAGTTTCTGCTAGGCAAAGTACCAAAGAACTAGCCCAACTCCTTTCAATGGTTTTATTTCACAGATGTTGTAAAGTTCATTATATTTATTATTGTTGGCTAACCTGCTGTCATTCTGCCATGTTGTTATCACACACTGTTGACTCTTCGTACCTCAACAGCTGGGCATTAACAGCTCCATGATGTTGGTGGTTTTCTTATTCCATGATCTGCAAGGGACAGCTAGGTTATTTGAACTCTGTGTGTAGATATATTTTCTATTGTGTAACAGCTGGGAAAATCAAACATGATGTCATTGTTAAAGCTCCTGTGAGGAGTTTTTTGACGTCAATTAAATAGAAAGAAATTTTTATAATGTCCAAAAACAAACAAGGCCATCGAGGACAAAACTGACCATTTGTATATTGTCATTTTTAATGCCTGAAGCTGGTTTCAGGAAGAAGGAGCAAACCGGGCAGATGAGAAAGCAGCTTTGTTTTGTAAATTTCACATTAGAAATTTACAATAAACGATTCATTTGAATGTCAAAATTCAGTAGAAACTACTCAAGCAAGTAAAGCTAGGACTGCTTTTTCTACAGGGGGTGCCATTAGTGACACAGAGAGTTCCTCACATGAACTCAGATCCTCGGTGGCCCTTAACTTTGGTGTCACACTCAAGACTTATGATCCTGACAATTGTGTTTTATGCTTTAAGTAATATTAGGCTTATTTTAACAAACCACTTGATCAGCATCGAAAAACAGCCAGTACGTTGTTAGCTTAAACATATGGCCCAGTGAACCTGTAGATTTCATCATTTATTGTCTTTAAGTTCTCCCTTAGGACAAAATATACAGTATTTTTGCAGCCTATTTACAACATTGTGCACAGCAGTATAACATGATAACAGCAATAGTTTGTTGTCAGAGGAGAATAGCCATTGTGTTGATATAGTGACTATATAATGGAGAGCAGATGCACACAACACCTGGTTAATTTATAGTTGTTAATGAGTCGATACATAGGCAGTGACATATGTCGAGCAAAGCTAAAATCGCTCATATCATACATAAGTGTTGATGTTAAGAGTGCAAGTAAGCAACAGTATACAAGTGAAGGTCGCACATGGCTCTGCCTTATGTGAACAGCATGTACAGGAACAGAGTACATTTACCAGCTGTCCGGCTCACATTGATTAAAGTATCATATGACAGGCTCCTGTAATCAATAGTCTTCAGGTCAGTCTGCAGAGCAATTCTTAATATAACGAAAGAAACAACTCAGATGTCTTTTCTGAGAGAATATGCTTTGTCTTGCATATTCTTCTCATGTTCAAGATGATAGATTTTTTCCCCCCACATCTCCCAAACTGGGAAGGGAGCTCATTCATTATGCAACGGATTGTATAATGATCTCAAGTTCACATTGTGATACCTTCGTGTTGTGTTTCAGCTGTTACCTCACTGTCGAGGATCACTCAAAGTAAAATGAGAGGGAGAATCGTGGGTCACCTGCTTTTATCTCAGTTTGTATGAAATCCTCTCTGACCCTTTGGTTCTAGTGGCATCAAACGTGCAGCAGACCAGGGGACATGACTTGCTCTTCACTCTGTCTGTGCAGATTAAACACAGTCACCATGGAAACTAGAGTGTTTGTGCCAGAGGGGGACCTTCTGACATTATTAAATAACCTTAAAACCAGTTATTTTCTGGATGGCCGGGTACAGATGAAACAAGAGCTTAATGTAACTGACACTGACAGCTTGAGGAAACAAAGGGTAACATCTGCAGTTAAGATGACGATTATTCAACTGGTGTGCACTTTGAGTGAAATGTTTTTAAGTGTTTAAAGTAATCGTGCTCACAAATTATTGATGATTACATCTATTTACACTTGATACTTCTTCACTGTAACTTAGTTGTTTTCACATCTTGACCTTTTCTCTACAACTTCAACTTCAAATACAAAAAGTTAAAAATTTCAGTTGGCCATACTTCGCTGTTATTTGGTCCTAAGTGCTGTCAACGGGTCTGGTGTGGTCTGTCTACTTCCTTTCAGACCACACACAGCTTCAACAAGCTTTAGCAAATAAAAACTGGCTTTCACCCCCTCTGTTTGCATTAGCTGTGGAGCCACAGGCTGAAGCTACTGAAACAACTCCACTTATCCAAAATTGGGGAAGCCTTCTTACCGTACCAAATATCAGGGCATCTTTTCCATTTGAATCATCTCCCCAAGGTTGAGAGTTTTTGTTACACTATTTCTTACCATAATTTTAAAGCCAAATTTTCTTTGTTTGGTAAGACGTGCTCCTAGAAACTGAAATTCACTCCCTGCAACCTTGTTAGGATTAATACAAATGATTAAAGTAATGTAGCTCCCAGATTGCTTTGTTTCGGTCAAATAATTCTATTATTTTTAATCCAGTCCCAAAGATGTGAACAGTTGCCTCAGTACTTTCATTTGGGGCACACACAGATATAAAAGGATGTTGCTGCAATTATCAGGTATTGTGGCTGGCTTAGACTCACCAGATATCAAAATTTACCAGCTGTGCGCTCACATGAGTGAGTCTTCCTGTATCTGGCTAGACACTGAGTTGTAATTCCTAAATTGTAGTTTAAAGGGCATACTATGTATGGAAAATTTCAGGAATATTGGAAGGAACTGCACTAATTTAACACAATCAATCCTCTGAAAGCATGGTGACCAGAGGAGGTCCAAGTCAACTTCAACGTTTATTGCAATAACAGACAATCCTGATTTATTTGCCAGGGACATTGAATTCTGGTTCCCAGCTATTACCAAACAAGGATTTCTGTTTGCAAATAAGTCTAATCTCATTAAAGCAAAGAAATGCCAGCTCACAAAACTGGACTTTTGTCCTGTTTCTTACAAATTAGCCAAAGTAGAGTTTAACTTATATGGATCATCCAGAGCTATCTGAAGTTGGGGAAACACTATTTGAACAAGCTGAGAATATGTGTTTGAGCTCACTCTATGACAAAATGTGTGGCCCATCTCCTCATGATACACAAGAAAATCAAAACAAAGTCAGTTCAGGTTGGAGTTATACATAAAACACAAAACACATACAGTGTTTATCCCCAACACAGACTCCTTTAATCCCTCAATCTCCCCTCTGTGTCTTGAATTTAAGCCTGAAACAGGAACTGTAATCCACTGTTCATGTGTGTTCTGCAGAAATACCGGTTTGAAATCCAGTATTAAAATTATCTCACATAAATTTGAAATTAGATCTGATGCATTTGGAAAATGTGAATCTGTTGCACCATGAAGCTTGTTAGGTCTGTTGCAGACAGGATATACCGGCTTAAATTAACTTTCAGTTAACCTGAGACACAAGATAAAGACAGAGTTAGAAAGACAGAGGTTGAGTGGAGGAACTGCAGGTATTTTTTTTTTCTATTACTGAAACAGTGGCTCCATATTTCAACACCAGAGGTTGCCACTACAACCTGACAGGCAAACTCGGAACAAAATGTCAGGATGCTCTTGTAAAGGTCAGTGCTTTTAGCCAGTAGTTTTACATACCTACTGATTCAGATGAAAATACAGACACATTTTTATCAGCTCAGATATTTTCCTCTCTAGAGACATCACTTGCAACACATTTTACAGAAGCTCTGGTGACATAATGGCTGTGAAATTTTTATGAGCGTGGTGGTGTTGGGGTAAAAGAAAAAAAAAAAGAAGATTTGAGCCAGCGGAAGAGGGGCATGCTGTGTTTATCTCTGAACACGTCAGCTGCACTCTTCAGATCATTTATGAACTGCAATTTCCGCTGTCCTTATTTAAACATTGATAGTACATATCCACTCTTATCAGCGTCACTGCAAACACCTCATAAGATTCATAGTAAGGACAAAAATGTCATAGGGAAAGTCCCTAAGATACTCAAAAAGAGTGTAATTATACTAAACAAATACATTATCATGATTCATCTTTTTCTTCCTGCGTTCGGTAGCTACTACAAAGTTTACATACAGTAATATTTATGGTACTAGACTGGAGTAAGAAGGAAGTCTGTTTTTAGTAACAGGTGTCATAAAGCCACAGGTGCTGATATTCTGTTATCAGAGTCAACAATATCCAACGTTGCTTGTGTGTCACCATTTTTTTTAAGACACATGTTTAGGTAGAGGGGTTAGCTAAGGTTCCAAGTCCTTATGTCAATACTGAATCTTTGAGAGTTATAGTTGCTTCATAAAGACTTAAAGCTCAGGATCATACAGCACCAGTATGAATTCAGGCTTTAAATGATGATTTAGCTTAAATGAGGAACAATATTGTACACACTCAGTCAAATATTTACACATCATACCGCAATAAGAAAATTTGAGAGCTATCAATCTGCACGAAATGTCTTCTGTATTTTATGGGTGCACATCAGATGGCCTTGTCGTAAGATGACTAATTTTCTGTTGACAAGAAAAACACAATCAGAAACGCACAGGGGCTACAGGCTGTTAGAGCTGGATGTCTCTTTTCATTGACTTTTAAGTTTTACTACAAAACCCAATTCCAATGAAGTTGGGAAGATGTGTAAATCATAAATAAAAACAGAATGCAATGATTTGCAAATCCTTTTCAACCTATATTCAGTTGACACTACAAAGACAACATATTTCATGTTCAAATTGATAAACTTTTTTTTGTAAATAATCATCAACTTTAGAATTTCGTGGCAGCAACACGTGACAAAGAAGTTGGGAAAGGTGGCAAAAAATACTGAGAAATTCAAGGAATGCTCATCAAACACCTATTTGGCAAGGTAAGGGTAACTTACACATCTGTGAAGGCAACATTAATGCTGAAAGGTACATACAGGTTTTGGAGCAACATATGCTGCCATCCAAGCCATGTCTTTTTCATGGACGCCCCTGCTTATTTCAGCAAGACAATGCCAAGCCACATTCTGCACGTGTTACAACAGCGTGGCTTCGTGGTAAAAGAGTGTGGGTACTTGACTGGCCTGCCTGCAGTCCAGACCTGTCTCCCATTGAAAATGTGTGGCGCATTATGAAGCGTAAAATACCACAACGGAGACCCCGGACTGTTGAACAACTGAAGCTGTACATCAAGCAAGAATGGGAAAGAATTCCACCTTAAAAGCTTCAACAATTACTCTCCTCAGTTCCCAAACGTTTATTGAGTGTTGTTAAAGGGAAAGGTGATGTAACACAGTGGTAAACATGCCCCTGTCCCAACTACTTTGGCACGTGTTGCAGCCATGAAATTCTGAGTTAATTATTATTTGCAAAAAAAATAAAGTTTATGAGTTTGAACATTAAATATCTTGTCTTTGTAGTGTATTCAATTGGATATAGGTTGAAAAGGATTTGCAAATCATTGTATTCTGATTTTATTTACGTTTATCACAATTTCCCAACTTCAGTAGAATTGGGTTTTGTATAAGTGACTATTCTGAAGATGCAGGTTAACCATTTCTTCATCCAAATTTGCTTTGGGAGTGATGATATACAGAGGCTCTATTCCTTGTTGCAGCAGTTGTAGATTCCCTGCATGCCATCCCCTAGTCTCTGCTCCTCTCTCTCTCTCTCTCTCTCTCTCTCTCTCTCTCTCTCTCTCTCTCTCTCTCTCTCTCTCTCTCTCTCTCTCTCTCTCTCTCTCTCTCTCTCTCTCTCTCTCTCTCTGTAATGTCCAATAAAGGCAAGGATGCCCCAAAATATCATTTTTTCAAAAGCCTGATGGTAATGCAAAAGCAACTGAACAACAAATGCATGAACTAAAATGACCTGGGGAATCAGCTGTATCTACTTAAACTCATACATATATTTGCATGTTTTTGTTTATCCATCCATCCATCTCTATTTATGGATGTAAAGATGGCAAGTTTGCTTCTCTTTCACATTTAAAAAGTATCCAATAAAAGCCCATAAAATGTATTTCTCATTAAAAAAAAACTCTATTAGACTGGGTTATAGAGTAATCTCTAACCTTTTTTTAGACTGGAGAGCGTGGATTTGTTTACTCTACTCCTTAGACAGCTACTGAATGTTTTATGATTGTTTTGAAGATCCTGTCTTGGATTAACTTGACAGTGATGCAAAGTATAGCACAGCCCACGCTTTAGCACATGCTTTCTCTCTGGTAAATTTTGCCGTCTCTAGGGGACAGCTCCCCAACCTTGACTTCTGTTTATATAAAGGTACATTCTCTCTTTCCCTCTCTGGGCTTTTAATCATCCTAGCACTTAACTTGCATGATTTTGACATCCAGATCTGCCAAAGTCCTGAAAATATCATGTTTTGAACTTATTCACCCTTCTTTCTGTCCATTTGTTGGCATAAGGGATGTGATGTTTAAGCTGCACAATATCAGATTAGGACAAAAAAAGATTTTAAAAATAACAGCTGGGTCTCAGGGAAAAATAAATCAGCTCTATTATTCGATGGGTAGCACTGGGGATGTCTATAATCCTGGTTAGGTCTAACAAAGGACGGTACCACTGCTGCTGCATTAGAGAGGATTTTACTGAATGCTACAAACTGACAGCTGCTGTGTGAACCAGGCAGACAGAAAAATGGAGTTTGACTGATAAAAACTTGAGGGGATGGTATGTTCATAAGAAAGTGACACGGGGTAGAGTGGTGACCTCTTGAGTCCTCATTAGATTCAACATAAAAATACCATGCTGTTACACATTTAAGCCTGGTTTAAAAAGAAAATCTGTTAAAGCTCCGGTGAGAAGTTCTGCAGAAGCCCTGGTTTTGCAATTTTCCCATTACAGACTGTAGAGGACAAGATATGCAAAGACTGCTTCTTTCAAAGGGGGACGCCAAAATAAACACAATCCTTAAGTTCCCCGAAGGAGCTTTGCGATGCCTACGATGGGCGAGTCATTGCATCTCCATCTCCCTGGCTTTTTCTAGGTTGATCAAAAGTTAAGTCAGGTTAACATTTTCAATTTGGTCCCCACCATCGCCGGACTTCATAATATCACAATTCTGTTTAACACAGTCTTCAGGTGAAGTGGAGGATGACTGACTTTTACCGGAGAGTGAAAGTTTGTTGTTTTGACTGCTTTACCTAGTTTACATTTTCATTTTTTCCTTGATAAGTATTTATGTACAGTACATGATAACCTATATAAGTGTCTGAAATCTGCTGAAATTGGAACTCCTAAAATATGTAACAAGGATAAGACAGCAGAGAGCAGAAAGTGTGCAAAACCACCACCACCAAATCAGCCGCTCGAACTTACAGAAATATGAAAACATTTCAAAAAAGCAACATCTCAGAATGCAAGACACATACTACTGCCTATTGTCTGACTTTGATTTATTATGCCCCCAATAAATCCATTTGAGGCTTTGCTTTTGAAGTAGATTTTGATGCATATTTCCTCATTATAACTATTGTTTTTGTTCTTTCAGTGGGAAGTGCTGCTCTCCGGTGTTGCAGTGGCCTCGTGATAAAAGATGATACAGGCTGGGATGGCCTTCCCACACTATCACAACTTCTGAACCAGTTCAACTTCGAACACAGGAGCTATGACAAAGGTTGTTTGATGGGAAAGTGAGCTGGCAGGAGTTGAGACTTCGGGAGTTAGGTGTGTTTTTATATCAAGATACCACCAGCAGCTCTGTCTCAGTGACCCAGTGCCTGAGGAGGAGGTCACCATGATCTCCACAGCTCTCCGCTGGCTGGTCCTGGTGTCTTTTATCATCCTGACCATCGGTGGAAACGTGCTGGTGTGTTTGGCTGTGGGGCTCAGCCGTCGACTGTGGCGGATTGCTAACTGCTTTGTGGTGTTGCTGGCAGTGACAGATCTGACGCTAGGCGTTGTGGTGATGCCCTTGTCCGCCACTTCAGAGCTGCGCAGTGGGAAATGGCCCCTCGGAGGGACCCTGTGCAACATCTACGTCTCCATGGATGTCATGTTGTGCACAGCCTCTATCCTGACCCTGCTGGCTATCAGTGTGGATCGATACCTCGCCATTTCAGCTCCTCTTAGCTACTCCCGAAGAGTTACCCCTCTGAGGGCGACACTGGGCATGATTGCCATCTGGACCTTGTCACTAGCCGTGTCCTTTGTTCCCATCCACCTGGGCCTTAACACAGCAGACTACAGAGTGCAACACTTGGACTGGAGCATTGGAGATGAGGACAAGGAGGGACGCTACTGCCAGTTTGAATGGAATAACAACTATGTTCTAATTTATGCCTTTGGCTCATTTTACCTGCCGCTGCTGCTTATGTGTGGAATGTATCTTTGCATATTCAGAGTGGCACGAGAACAGGTCAGTGGGTTTTTCATTTAATGAAACAAACTGAGCCACCAAAGGTCATGCATTATTTTAGAAACTCAACAAGATTTGATTTCAGATCAGTGATCTGTATTGAAATGGAAACCAATATTTGCAACAGACCTCAAAGTAAATGAAAACCAATATCTATGATGACATTCAGTGTTATTTATGGTATTTTCTCAAACAGTAGCATCAAAAATTTTAGAGAAATTACTTTCTGATCCTAGCTCCAGTCATTTCGGTCAATTCAAACCTCCCTGATATCAGTACGAGCTGGGACGAGTTGTTGATTCTGCTGACTGTTCAGCTACTTAAAACCAAGCTGTAGCCTCCTATCCTGAGAAATGAAGCTGACGAAGAAGCCCACTTGAGGCTAGCAACACCTGCTACTTACAGGCCCATTCTATATAGCCAATCTCTATAGCAAAAACAACAATGTCTATAGCCTAGTTCAAAAATATTGAAGGTCTGGATAGGTTGCCTGTTTGCCTGTTGGGTTGGAGAAACCCAGAAACACAACTGAGTGCACATCTGTATATTTTACCAAGGGTGCTCAACCTCTTTTCAGTTTCAGCAATGCAAACACACAGAAATACTCACATAAATGCCAGTCTGCATGGAAAGCCATGGCTATAACCAAATCCAATCAGGAGTTTAATCTAATCAGAAAGAAAAAGAAGTTAACCAGATACAGACCCAGTTTTCCATGTTCGAAGAGCAAAAATAAATCTATGTTTCTTCCTCTGGGACTGGGACAGTGGCGTCTTTGCCATTCGTGATAGACTCCTTGTATTAAGCAAGAAAGCGACTGATGTGTTAGAATGCTTACCAGCTTTTCAACCCTCACACTTTCTAGATTTGTAGAGCTGCTTTGGAAGGGACACCAGTCATGCAGTGTTCAGAGATATCTTGAAATACCATTTTTTTAGCAAGGCCATACTTGCATCACAGGTGAGACAGATGGAATTCAAATTTAAGCAAAAATAGAGAGGAGAAAGGCAACACCAGCCATTTCTGTGATGTGAAGGAGTAGTAGGATGTCTAATGAGGACAGCTATCCATTCAAAGCAGCAACATCTTTTGTTGCATAGAGGAGGGTACTGGTTAAGTTTCAGAGAACATGTGCCATGTTGGCAAAGAAAAGTTATCACTGGCTAATGTCACAGAGCTATCATTGCGTATTACATTCACTTTAAATGAGGACAATTTAGCAAACATTGCCAATAAACGCTGGATCTCACATATGAAAAAGTATTTTACAAACCCGGCAATTTGTTTTTTTTTAAGCAGCCAGATTTTGGTTTGGGTGGTCCATGTGCAATTTAGGGGAGATCTGCATTGGCTGGCAAAGTTTTTTTTACTTTAACATCAATAAGATTTAAACCTACATTCATAGTTTACATAGTTTGGAGAGCAAATTTCAGCCCTGTGGCTAACATTTCAAGTGTCTGCTGAGTGCTATGGTATGAACAGTGAAGCGTTTTACAACTGCTAATTGACCAAATGAATTACATACATAAATAAGACAGTTCGTCTTATTGATTGCTTGTAAAAAATGATATTATGGATTGAAGCAGCTGAATTTCACATGCATTGCTGCTGCTTGAGAGATCAGGGATGCACCAGTCATTAGCCTTTTTTTTTTTACCAAGCCCTCACTGTCAAGGTTAGAAAAGTAATATATGCTGGTTTTAAATTAAATTCTATGAAAGTTAAAACCTCTCTGTTTAATGAGATTTTTGTGGATATAAAATGAGACCTAACATCTTTTACTTCTTAAGTTAAATTTTCAGAGGCTTTAAAATCACATCAACACAATCACTATGGCTTGTTGTGCACTGCTGGACTTAATCCTGTAACATCAGATCAGTGACAGCTGATCTGATCCTCCGGCTCTCCTCAACCTTTCTTTTTGTTTTCCAGGCACGTCGTATTCGGGCTGCCACTCCATCATTCGCACGCACAGCATCAACTGCAGCCATCGCCCGGGAGCACAAAGCGACAGTGACCCTGGCAGCTGTACTCGGGGCCTTTGTCATCTGCTGGTTCCCCTACTTCACCTACTTCACCTGCATGGGCCTTGGAGGGAAGACAATCCCCCCTAACACGCTTCACTCTGTGGTGCTGTGGCTGGGCTATTTTAACTCAGCTCTAAACCCCATCCTCTACCCCGCTTTCAACAGGGATTTCCGCAAGGCCTATGGAGAGCTGCTTCGCTGCACAGGGCTAACCCAAAGAAAACTGCAGCTTACACCTGTGTCTGGACATAAACGACTGACCTTTACAAATGGTCATAGACTTCCCCAGCAGTCTGGGATACATAAAGACATGATTAAGAAAGAAACTGAGGGGAAAAGTCTCACCACGCAGGTGAGAAATGGACTCTGATGAGCCAAGATGAAAAAAGCAGACTGGCAGCAAAATGCTGTAAATTAGAAAACTCGCTCCGTCTCTCACAGAAGCTGTTTAGCTTACCATTTACAGTACAGATTTGGCATCGAGTGCCAAAGACACAATTTGTGTGGAGCTCAACGCACAAAAATGCACATGTTCATTGATATTTTTTTTAAGTGTAAAAATTTCAGACTTCATGATTTTGCTTAAATGTGTTATTTTCCTAATGTTGTCAAATTTCTGATTTCCCCATGCTACTATGTTTCTCAACAACATTAAAGCTCAAAAAAATCACCCAAAATGAAAGCAGAGCAGAGCAGGAAGAATAGATGACTTAGTAAATTTCTTTGAAAACTGGACAGAGACAAGCAAAGTTAAAAGTTTGCAAAGTGTTTATTTTCTTTTCCGTAGCCCGTGCCAGTGATAGTAAATAAATGACCAGCAGTATGACTCAATCTTACAAAATGCATACATTTGACTTGACGAAAGCAGTCTGACCTTAATGACTTAGTGGATGTTTGAATAGACTGACCCCAACTGTTAGCGCTAACTATAAAACATATTTTTTTCAGTATGGTTGTCTTATAAAAGACAGTCCAAGTCATGATGAAGAATCAACTGTCAGCCGCACTGATAATGAAAGGCCTGACTTCTGCAGAACAGACACAGCACTACACTACAAAGAAACCTTGATCTATAAAGTAATTACAACTTTGTTACACAAACTATATGCTGAGTGATCATTCCGTGTCAGCTTTATTTGGTCCCCTCAACTGTTAAAAACAAGCATCAGTGGTAATATGCAGGAGGAAATGGTTTCTAAGCACCATCAGCAACACAGGGAGAAACATAAATGTTTAATGTGAGCCTCAGTGCTTCTGTGCTGTCAGTGAGAGTTCAAGTATAGCTTGGGTTGAAGCATGGAAAGGGAAAGAAAGCGCTTTGGGACAGGTAGATAATTTTACTCCTTTCCAGAAGGGAACAGCACTGTGGATCTCACTTAGTTTCATGAATATAAAATATAAAACTTTAAGTGATCAAGTCAGCAGCTGCATAGTGATACAGTATAAAATAGAAGTCATAAAAATTAACTCTGATTCAGGTCAGGCAGCAGAGGAGTAAAAAGTCAGAATGGTGCTGCAGGACCATTTATGGGGACCATTAAATGCAGCGGACTCCTCTGAAATGAGGAGGATGGATTTGTAATAGTATTATTAAGCACATTCAGCACGTACGTCTCCAGCAGAGTAAAGGTCTCTCAAAGTTTGAGACTTGGGAGTTTGAAACTCGTAAAACTTACAGGAATCCTCCAAAGGAGAATATCTGACTAAATTTTCATGCGCAAACATAAAAAGAATAAGAAATAAAGGAAGAGCGTGTTTACATGCGGTGCAAATGTGTGGTTTCCAGTCACATCATCACAACTCCCTGTTTCATGCATGTAAAGCTCTTTAATAAATTAAATTTACATGTCTTCAAGTCTATCAGTTAAACGTGATAAATCGCTATGTAATAGGAAGCTACCTTTTGAATACACAGTGGACAAAGCCTGGTCCTCCTGGCTGTCCGTCATTATGCTAAGCTTCGCAAATTATCTTCTAGTATACAGTAACACACGTGCATGTGTATTGACAGCCCTGTGTCTTTTAACACTGTGTATTACATTGGCAGCACCCACAACCTCACTTTCAGAGCACCTTTCACTGGCACCCACTGTTGCAAGCTTTCAAAGGTTGTCCTGTCACTTTCACTTGCCTCAGTAGTGACTATTACATCCTTTCAAAATGCCAAATCTCCTCTCATTCGATGGCATTTCACAAAAAAAGAAGGCTAAAAAACGCGTTGTCGTAATATCAGCAGCTCTGAACCGAGAAATTCTACCTCAAATTAAACAGTCGTGGTTGGTCTCTCCTCAGCAGTGACCTCGACCATTTTTGTTATCAGAAACTCATCCTTAATTCTGATCACCTGTTTTCAGGAAGTGACACTGTTGAGTACGACGGGATTCCCAAAGTTAAACTACTTCCCTCTGAGAGCACTGGTGAAGAGTAAGAGAAATCTGCTGAGGCTCAGAGTGATTTTGTGGAGCTGTTGAGTGCTGATTGGCTTTGGATATGAAAAATGGCACTGCAAGTGCAAAGAAGAACATGAGTACACTTAGCTTTTCACTTTCAGCAGAGAGCAGTAAAACACAGTTAGATAAGAATGTGGAATATTTTTTCTTAAAAGAAAAAAAGATGTGAGTCAGATTTTAATTTGTATGTGAAGACAGTGTCAAAGTATTTTTATGGAAACAAACCTGCCAACTCACTTTTAGCCTACATCAAATTTACACACCAAATGCTAATACAGTCAAATATTGTCTGAAACAGTCATTTTTTTTAGGTATGCATATTTTTAGAAATATATTCATTAATTTATAAATACTTACCTTTTGCTTTTAGTTAGAACAGTCACTGAAAGAAACCATTATTTTGGATCTGCAGTAAAATCAGACAGGAGGCTTTGGGTGACTTCCTTATAAAAACTGGTTGAATGTGCAAGATATCTTTGAAGGCCAGGCGCAAAATCACTAATACAACTGAAGATACTGCTGGACCTATACCGGGAGCCAAATATTGATTAGAAAATGAATATGAATTATCAGCAAAAAAACATGAATGTTAGATTGTTTGATACATTTCAAAAAGTGATAACAATGTAATCTCCACATTTTGAATAAATTTTGGGTGTATCTGTGTTTTCTGCAGAGATTTCTTTTAATTATAAAACAAGAGAAAGATCAAATTTGAGGATTCCAAAAATTCAGTACAAGCTTGTAATACTTTCTAGTTCTGCCCTCTGTAAAATCAGAGTTTTGGCAATTTTATTTATTTTTTTGTCTAAATGAGAATAATTTTTATTACATTTTGTTATTGAATGCAATATCCACATCACGATGCATTCTTTGTTTGCTCATGAACATTTAACAAAGCTGTTGCCCTTGAGTGCAGGAGGATTCATTTGACATCTTTAACTCAAAAGCCTCTACTACTTCTTGTCAAACAAACATTTTTCTCAATTTTCCCGCTGCCCTTCACTAAAATAATTTGATCAATGAGCTAGCTTGACTGGTGCCTGTTTGAACTTCATGGGTGTTGGTTCCTCTCCTCTTGAAAGGTTTGATAATAAATTAAGTGCAGCACCCAAATGTCACTGCAGGATTACTTGTAGAGTGTAAAAATATCCAGTTCTTGCAAGTCTGGAATTTAGGAGGAGAGGAAATCCCATAATTAAGTATACATTTTACAATGATCCCATTTGATGCAAGTGAAGAATCGCCCAGTTGTGTACACCAAAGTGAGTCAGTCGAGCTTCAGTTCAGTCTGCCCAACACAAAGCAAGGCAGGTGTGCTATAAAGAGGGAAGCGATTGTATATCGAAGGGATGTATACACTTATGACTGAAATACAACTATCAGCGCAGAAAAAACCTTCCAAAATGCAAGTTATAATCAACCAAATCAACAACAAGGCAACTTATGAGGTCTCTTTAAATGTTTATGCGTGTGTGTGCCCAGAGTTGACGTCTTTCAATAATCAAAGTTTGACTAAATGTTACTATCTGTCAATTACTCTTCCTTTCACGGACTACAAAGCTCATGCCAACATCTTACTTCTTACACACAGAGTGCTGATAAAGGTGCTTTTGATCCAATGTCTCTAGTCTTGTAATTATAAAAATGAAGCATTAATTTCATCAGTAAACTTTGTACTAAATATTGTTGTATGGTACAATAAATGTTGTGTAAATCATAATACTACTTGTGATACTAATGAGACTGAATGTTGCCGGTCATGTCCATAGACTGTTTATAGAATGGACAGCGTCTGCCTCCTTGTGGGGTGAAGCTGCTCTGAGAACAGCACCCTCTGGTGACGGGCTGCAGTATAGGTCACAAATCCCGCCTTCCACGAGCAATCCTTATGGAGTTGTAGACAAATTTAAGAAATTTATGACTCAGAATATAAATTTTTCTCCCCCCTGGTTTGACATGTAGTTACTGTAAGACTGGTTTGTGGTCAAGTCCTCTTTTTTTCTGTACAGCTCGATTTTTAAAAGTTATTAGGGGGTTCATGTTTTCTATGATTGACACTTGATACAGCCTATGGGCGTACGAAGATTGCTTAGCTCACCCGGGCGATACGCTGTTTAAGCCGAGCGTCATCACAGAGACTCTCAGCGACTCTCTTGCTGACTGCACACAATGTTACTGCACAAGTGGTGAAGTGCGTACAACGCTCCTGCCAAGTGTTGGTTTCAGGAAATATTGTGAAGAAAAATTGCGGAAATACCAAGAGCTTTTCGGCTTCAAATCCGTGTACTGGCGAAGGGCGGAACCAAGTTGTCCATAGTATATACATGGTCATGTCAAACAAACACTTGAAATACATTTGTGGTGATGCAGTGAAAAGACTAGTATTAGACCCGCTCAGAAATGAACCATAACATTATACTCCAATGAATCTTTGACACTAGTTTGCAGAAGAGAGAGAAAAGTAACTGGTGGTAAAATTTAGATAAAGTGGACCCACAGTTACTCAGTACCAAAAGATCTTGCTGTCTATTCATTGAGAATTTTTCATGTGAAGACTGTGATCAACAGCACTTCCTGTCTGAGTGCTTTGAAAACTCTTGTCAGATACTGACCCGCTGGAGGTGGTGGCAGGTAAAAGAATGACAACAAAAAAAAAGTCCTTCCTGTGTGACCTGGTTTACCTTTGTAGATCATGAAGACATTAATTTCAGATTTATGATAACCCGCTAAAAGCTCCTCACAGTATATTTAAGCACACAGATAACATGTTCCTCCAATAATCTAAATCCCTTCATGTGAAAGGTATTTGAGGGGGAAAATTTAGGTCCTGATGTGCCTGGTTTCAGCTGCTGGAGAACAGAGTATAAAAGGAATAAATGTGAAAACTAAAAAGTACTGATCGCTGAAAATAATCCCCCCGGAGCAGTCAAGTTACAAACAGAACTATCCTCAGCCGTTTCTGTGATATAACAGATAAAAGGGCCTTTCAGCCAAAACAAAACTTGGTTAATAAACGAAACTTTCCTCATTGATTCAATCAAATGTGCATCTTGTTTCCCTTCTTATTTAATTTTTTTCATAGTTTCCTTGGTTCAAAAGTCTGCCAATCCAAGTTGCTCTTGTCTCTTTATTTGTTTAGCAGTGAACACACTACCAGATGCAATCTCAGATGTTACATCTCATTTAAATTCTTATCTCTGTTTGCTTTACATGGTCATTTCTTTCATTACAGCTCTACCGCCCAAAAATTCATATGATCCCACTCTGCTGAATAAAAGGCGGCTCTTTTTATCTCCATGATCATAGTTGCATTGTTGTTCGTGTTTGGATGTGAGCAAATAATTTCTTCTTAACACCTTAGCTTGTGCAAATCAAACAGATGAAAGTGTGGACAGTATTTTAGATGCTTGTGCAACAAGATGGAGACAGCTTTTTAGGACTGTAAGCAACTACAAAGACAGCTATGAATAGTATTTAAGTTAGACTGTAGACTTTACATCATGGAGAACAGAGCAGACCAAATGTAGAGAGTTTTTTTTTTTTTTACTCCGATCAATATGATGACAAAATAACTGAGATAAAGATATTGCACATAAAGGCAGACACGGAATCAGAATACTTGATTATATGCTTTGTGCCAGTTGCAGAGAGAAAAACAATAAGCATAAAGAAATGTTTAAAAAAAAAAAAAAAAAAACACAGGAATTATCCCGGAGCAGTGAGAAGTTATCAACCTGTTACGGGTACAAAAGGCCAGGACCCAATATTGCGGAAACAAAATCACTAAAAATTCATTGACAAAAATATCAACAAGAAAAAACAACATAAAATCACTACACAGGGTAAAAAGGCTCGAGAGGCACAGACAGCTACTGCAAACGAAGAAAAACAAGTGTCAGGAAAAATTACAGAAAAACTCAAACAACCTCTGACACTAAAAGTACAACTTAAATATACCACGTGGGGCAAGTAACAAAAGGAATATCAAGTCAACTAGAAAGTTCAACAGAGAACAAAAGACAAAGTGAAAATCACCTCAGAAAAATGCAAGGGAAAAAACTAGAACTATAAAGTACAAAACAACTGAAACAAAGTGACAAACAAACTTACAAACGATGCGAAGGCAGACTGGAGGCACAAGG